TTTCCCGCGAGAGCGGCTATGGAGAGAGAAAGAGAAAGAGGGGTTAGAAACAAAATCCAAACCTTGACTGCTTCCTTCAGGAAACCAGAAGAGTGAAAAGAAACAAACAGAAGGTTCCATTACTTATACGGCTTTTATAAAGTGGAGGCCACCTGCTGCCCTTGGGCCAACCCACCACGGCCGCCCCCAGGGGGTCAGCGTAGAACTGGGCTGCGGGGGGGCTCTCAAAGGCTGTGATTTTGGGGACCTGGGCAGCCAGGCCTTTCTTTTGAGGGGCCTCTGGGTGGACTTAAACCTCCAACCTTTCTGTTAGCGGCTGGCACTCACTGTGTGAACCACCCACGGGCTCCAAGACACAGGCTCTCACTCCCTGCCTCTGAGTCAATGCCACTCACAGCGACCCGGCCAGACAGGGTAGCACTGCCCCTGCAGGTGTCTCAGTAGAAAGCCCCATATTTCTTCCTTTGGAGCGGCTGGTGGTTTTGAACTGCTGACCTTGAAGTTAGCAGCCCAACATGTAACTACCACACCACCAGGGCTCCTCAGACACAGGCCGCGCTTCTTCAATGGCCTTCATGACAAGCAACGGCATGGTGGGCAAGGAGGCCACAGGGAGGTCAGGGGCTTTATGATGGCTTTGGGGGGTGGCTGCCTCATAGGGAGTCCTTTTGAAAACCGCTGGGTGAGCACTGGGTTGGAACCACTTAGACACACAGAGGCTGCCTCTGTTTCAGGTTCCCGGACTCGGGCTCAGACTTGGTGGAGAGCAGCCTCCTCACCCCAGGCTGTCTGTCCAAGGAAGAGCTCCAGTGGGAGGTGGGGTGGAAGTGGGGAGGGGAGGCCCACTTGGCGACGGCCCCTTCAGGCCCCAGTGCCTTCTGAGTTGGGGCAGGGCATGCCATGATGGGCCCCGAGGGGCTGAGCGGCTGGGCAAAGGGGACCGTCCCTCTCAGGTGACCTTTACTCCAGGGGTCGCCTAAATTGATGTGAACGGAGCTGCTTCAGTCTGTTCCAGCCCTCCTGATGGAGGCAGGTGCAAGGATGGACCCGCTGGAGCAGGGGGTTCTGGCTGACCCACCATTGACCCCACCCGCGCACCTCTGCACGTCCGGGAGACCACTGGTCTTCCCCTGGCTCCCCCCTATAAATGCGTGGCACAGCAGTATGGCTGCTTCTTCGTCAGTCAGGCTGAACAGCTTGGGCGTGGAGGAGAGCCAAGCCAAGGGCAGGTACAGGTGAGGCCAGCCAGGTGGAATCCCCGCCACAAACTTGCTCTCCCCCCTGTTTAGATGGAGAGGGCACTGGGACACAGAGAGGGTATGCAGTGTGCCCAGGGCACACAGCAGGATCAGAGGCCGTCTCTCCTGCTCACAGCCAAGCATTGAGTCCTTGTAGTTTTAGAGCAAACAGGGCTGAGGACACCTCCGGCTCTAGAGAGCCCATTCCCTGGCTGTGGGGGGCAGGGTGGGGGTGGGGAGACAGCAGGGGTGGGAAGGGGGAGCGGGTTAACACTGGGAGAGACAACTCCCACAGCACAACAGGAGGCCCGCAGCCTGCACAGCCAAGCCTGCTCTTCCTAGGGACACTCATTTCTTGTCCCTCCTGCCCACCCCAGGGGGGACGTCTGGACCCAAGTGACACTGAGGCATGGGATGGTGGCAAGGCTTATAGGGCAGACTCTTATAAAGACATAGAGATGACACCTACACCCGGATCCCTGGTGAAGTCTGGACCTACTCCCAGGCACACCCAGTGACCAGCAGAGAGCCGCCTCTGGGGAGTGTAGTCAAGTACCCATGGGACCAAGGCTCTTGGCTGCATTTGGGGACAGCCCTGGGTGGCATCAGTGGCTTATCAGGCCCTGAGACCCAGAGGGCTCAGCACTAGGACCCCGTGGTCCACATGTGAGTCTCCATCACAAACATCTCATTGGACCAGAAACAACCGCCGTGGCAGGGAGGGGGACAGAGGGAGTGGCAGACAGAGGTGGGCATCTTAGGGTGGTGGGTTCCCTGAGTGGACTGAACCCTGGGGCTGGGAGGGCAGGGCCCCTCGAGGGGCACTCGGCACCCGAGCACTGACCTCTTCCTCCTCGAAGCCTGTGAGGTCCCAGCGGTAGTTGAGCCTCATCTGTTTCCGCTTCCAGTGTTCCATGAAGGTGGCGGCTGCGGGCAGGAGAGGCAGCAGGTCAGGCCACTGGGCTCGCGCGCCCCCAGAGCCAGACAACACTATAGGGGGGTGGGCAAACAGGACATGTGGGCCCTCGCAATGTCCCAGGAGGCAGGGCCCACTGCCTGCCGGTCCTAGAGTGAGGAGACCACAGCTTTGTCCTTATTCAGCGAGGACACAGGGGTTTGACCTCAGAGGCCACTTCCTCCTGTGCTCACCTGGCCCACAGGTGATAGATTGGGGGTTCTGGGCCCCCAGAACTGTGACACAAGAAGCAGGGGCTCTGTAAAGTCCCCCACCTTGTAGCATCTTATTAGTGCAGCCCCTGGGCACCCACACCAGACCCCTCCCCTGGCAGTGACTGTCACGGCACCCACATTTGCCGTCCGCTCGGCCCCTGCCCCATACTGTGTGGCCTTTCTTCTGTAAGGGGTGGGACCAGGCCTCATTCTACTGTCCCCCTGTGCCCACCCCCCTGTCCGGTCCTGGCACAATGGATGCCCAAGAGTGTCCACTGAACGAACCAAAGAATGAATGGATGGATGATGGGTGGATGGTGGATGGATGGATGGATAGATGGATGGAAGGATGGCTGGATGGATGGGTAAATGGATGGACGGATGATGGATGGAAGGATGAA